CAGTTTCTTGCATCTTGATCAATGAATAAAAGTTAAACATGAAATACAAAATGGCATTTCCATCTGTGTTTTATCAACCAAATACACCAAGAACTCTGACCGCAAATACTCACACTCACACTCTAACATGCTCTGGCCTCTGCTGAGAATTAATCTTATTTAATTACAGCCAGGAAACTTAGATATGAAAAATGCAAATTACTTAAGACCAAATTCCTGATTCTGTACGCTGGGAGGAAGGTGTACCTCTCCTCTTATCACAGTGGTAGAAGAGCTACTTATTTCAGATCCATAAGTCCAGCCCTCATATCCTCAAAGTCACTGTTGTGCAGGCAACCCCCAAGAAGCTAGGGATTTTGTTGTGCTGAAGGAATGTGACCTCTCCGTCTTCTGGTATAATTCCTGCACAGAAGAATGGCTCAGTTTCCACTAAAACACTTCTCTTCCAATACTACAAAAAGGGGGGTGGATTTACATAAGAATACCGTTAACATATCAAATGTATATTATTCTTGAAATCCTTCAGTATCTTAGCTTTGTGTCTCATAAGAACATAACATAAGAATGGCCGTACTGGGTCAGACCAAAGGTCCATCTAGCCTAGTAGCCTGTCTGCCGACGGTGGCCATCACCAGGTGCACCAGAGAGGGTGGACCGAAGACAAAGATCAAGCAATTTGTCTCCTGCCATCCTTCTCCAGTATCTGACAAACAGAGGCCAGGGACACCACTTCTATCCCCTGGCTAATAGCCTTTTATGGACCTAACCTCCATGAAATTATCTAGCTTCTCTTTAAACTCTATTATAGTCCTAGCCTTCACAGCCTCCTCTGGCAAGGAGTTCCACAGGTTGACTACACGCTGTGTGAAGAAGAACTTTCTTTTATTAGTTTTAAACCTGCTACCCTATAAACACTTAGCCCTTCCAACAGCTAATTCCAAAAATCTGACAAATTATCATCAAACACGACTGGGAGGAAAAAATTATATAGAGAAATGTGAATACAAATTAAGAGTTACTGAAGAAAATCGTATTGGATTGTTACAAATCCAAGATTCCAAATGTGAGGAAACAGACAATTTTGGAGAAAACCAGAGTTTAGTGGTGAAAGGAAAGCAGCAGATAGTAGGGGATAAAATATTTAACAAATGGGAAAAAGGGAAAGGGACCACACAGTATTCAAGATGTGGGCATACCATAGTTTTATACAGGGACAATAAGATATTCTGTGTCTTATTTCCTATCCCTTTCTTAATAATTCCTAACATCCTATTTGCCTTTTTGACCGCCACTGCACACTGTGTGGAAGTTTTCAGGGAACTATCAATGATAACTCCAAGATCTCTTTCCTGATTTGTCGTAGCCAAATTAGCCCCCATCATACTGTACATATAGTTGGGGATATTTTTTTCCAACGTGTATTACTTTACACTTATTCACTCTTCTCCACTCTTCACCAAAAAGAAAAAAATGCTGGATATTTGGAACTACTGGATGATTTCCTCAAAATCTGATGTCTTATGACAACCTTATTAGGATACGCTCTAGTTTAAGGCCAGATTCCATGCCCGTTTGTTGGTGTGAGGAACTAAATTAGAAATCACCAGAAACATGTTCCAACTCCATCTCTATGATCAGCGTTCTTTATGAGCTTGCACAAATTGATTAACATTTGGGCTTAGTGTCATTATCTGTACAATTGAAAGAATATCTACCCGCTCAAAGTACTTTCAGTTCAAAGTTAAAAGTGACATAAGTGTTAATTATTTTACTGCCCATGAAGATGCATTGTGAGTATGCTTTATTTAATAAAAATGTACAGCTTTCAGATCAATATTTCAGTTACTTCTTACATTCTAAACTCCTCTGAACAAAGAAAATGACTTGCAGCAGAGTAGGACTCCATCCAATGTTGACTAATAGAAATATTTAACAATTTGGATTTTTATACTTGAAGGCAAGTTAAACAATGTAATGCATGAAAGTAAGCAAAAAACCCCAGTGTTATAGGTTGGAATGAACCTTGGTAGTGGTGGATAACAGCCACTTTTCATTCAGAATACCTGTAGAGGCCATTAAGTTCCCTTAAGAAACCTGATAGCTATGGCAACATTGGCCTCCACCAGCAAATAGAGGCATATCACTATCCAAAACAAAGGAACACCTAGGGAAGAGATTTAGTTGTCTATTGTTTTACAAAGGCTGTGTGTCTGTGAAAGAAAGACTAGAGAGCTTTAGAAAGAAAGCACAAAGAAGCCCCAGACAAAAGCCCCAGTAGCACATCCTTCTCCTAACAGAAACAACTCACAGATCCCAAATTTAGGTTAATCTCTAGTATGAAAAAGCAGTAACACCACAGTGAACTTATAAAACGCATTCTATAAAAAAGGTCTCACAAATTCTAACGTTTGAGTATGTTCAATAATTCTTATATACAGATTACACAACAAATGAACATTTCACTAGAGGGAGCTAAAGGACAAAAAAATAGTGGTTATGTAACACTAAAAATCAAGCTCTAGTAAATATACTTACATTATATGAATTAAAATGTTTGTACACTATTGACATGCTGGCCCTTAAATTACACTAATTTATATACAAAACGCCCCCCTTAATGACAGCTTATATCCTAAATACAGCAGAAAATATTATGGTAAGCTGGAAAATCCATTCCTTTCTTAATTTAAAATGTAACATACCACACTCATCACCATGATGTCAATTCTTTAGATACGCAGTCTAATAATTGTTAGCAAGTTGAAAACTGAAAATTAAGCTAAGCTTAGGCAGTTTATTTTGTACCATACCATTTTGTATGTAGTAGTACAAAGATTTTAATTACCTAGACAAACTAAGTACTTCCTTTCTAAGTGCTGACTTGTTAGAAGCCCACTGTGCAAGCCTAGAAGGAAACCGAGACCCTAGAACACCACAATATCAGCCCATCTCTTCCTCCATCCCTCAAACATCTTCACCTCCCTGCCACAAATGCAGCAGCAGAGATCTGCACAATTTCTTTCCAGAGACGCAGAGGCAGCAGCATAAGGCCATCTTCTCCCTCAACTCAGCATAGCAGTAGGGATCTTCTCAGATTAGAAGTAGCAAGTGCATCAACAGGGGTCCTCTTGGCTTCTTTCAGGAGGCAAAGCAGACCTCATGTACTTATCCCACACTAGGAGAGTTGAATCTGCTTAGATGGGTGTGCCAGACCCTGCTGCACTCTCCTCTTGCCATTCTGATAGGGAGGTGGTATGTGAGGTTGGGAGACAGATGAGATCTTGGAGCTAACTCCCCATTGAGATGCATGGGACAATTCATAATTATCATTTAGTCAATTAAAATAAAGGGCTAATGTATATATTAAAATCCACACTGGAATATCAGATTCAAAGAAAGCAAAACCAGAAATTTCTTTAAAAAGAACAGATGTTTGATTGCTTTATTATTATTTTAAAAATACTGAAAACATGTAGACAAGACCATATTGCTGCTTTTGTTTAAAATATTTTCTTGTAGATAATAAAAGCCTAGCTTTGAAGACACTAACAAACCTAGGAAAATGCAGTGCAAAAAGTCTGATATGCAAGTAAGGCAGGTAACACTACTCCAGGTCTACTTAAATTCCAGCTCCTAAAACCAGTCTTAAGGAGATTCTAAAAGGCTCACACTTGACATGCAATGAGCTTTCCCCTAGTCTAAAACGAATGATTACAAACAGAAAAAAAAATCTATTCATTTAAAAGAAGCAAGTGCCATGATCATCTGATCTTCATAGGTAAAATTAGAACTAATGGCAGTAAGATACAGTTATCAAAAAGATGCTACTCAATCTGCATTTTCCAAGCTAAAATATCCCCAGCCCATGACCACATTGCTGAACCCTGATGATCACCGTAGAAGTTGTCAGAGTGCTAAAGAGATTAACAAATATTGACGTACTCCCGATCGGTCTGAAAAGGGTAGACCCTTAGCTTGTCTTTATTCCTAAATTCAGTCTTCAAAACCACTGTCAGTAACACCCACAATGAGATTTATTAGTAGGATGCCACTGACATCCCAGAATATAGGCCATCTGGCTCAGGTGTATGAACTTCTAGAAAGGTGTGGACCCATCTCTGTCAACTTGACTTTACATGCATGATCCGTATGTGCCACACCACGAGGAGGGTGCCATTTTGCAGAGCACACTGCCTTACCCCCACCAGCATAATAAACAAACAAGTCATTCATCATGGGTGATATTAATGGAGAACAGAAACACCCATATAATACTGACTTCTTGCAACCTCCCTTCCAGCCATTTATAATTCACAAATCCTTCTCTCTTTCTCTTATCGAACAATTATCAGTCTCTCAATCTCTGCAGAGAGACTCCTTAAAAAGAGGCATTCTAAGTGGACCAGGATTCTGGATGGAGCTAATACCAAGTCATATAGAATAGTACCTTCCGGTTTGAGCCAAGAAAGCATTTTATTTTTATTGTACATTTTTTTTAAAAAAAAAGACTGCACAATTTCAGCTTCCAAGTGTCTCATTTTCTTGTTATCTAGTACATTAATAAGTGCACTCAGAGAAAGACTGTAGATGCAGCAATGATGGACTATTTTTTGCAGAAACAAAGGAGGACAAAGGACATCATTTTAGCTAAAGCATACAATACAGTTAAGAGATTTTGGGTCCAATCCTTTTGTTTTGAACCTGTTACCTATTTAATTTCATTTAATGACCCCTAGTTTTTATGTTCTGAGAACAAATACATAACTTTTCCTTATTCACTTTCTCCACACTAGTCATGATTTTAGACTTCCATCATATTCCCCCTTCATCTCCTCTTTTCTAAACCGAATAGTCCTAGTATTATTAATCTTGTCTTATATGTCATCAGAGATAGCAGCATGGGGTGGCAAGCGGGACCGAGTCCACAAGGGGAGCCAGTTTAAAAAATAGTTTCTCATGCAGACCGGCTCCTACCTGCCACACCGTCCATGGGGGGTCTGAGACCTCCGTGGACAAAGATTGCGTTGTGGCAACAGACGCTGTCCATGGGAAGTCGACAGGGGCTGTTGCTGCAGACCAGACACTTTCTGTAGCAGGCCCAGGCTCACCAGGGACAGAGGCTGCTCCACGGAATACCACAGCAGCTGCTGTCCAAGAGGGACTCAGACCTTTGCAGACAGAGGCTGCTTTGTGGAAGCTTCCCCTCTCCTCATCCCTGGCGGATAGAGGCAGCAGCGTGGGGGATGGAGAGAAAGTAGCACCAACTCCTGCCTCTCCTTCCCCGCTGCTGATACAGAGGTAGCGGGGAGGAGGAGAAAGGGGAATGCATATCGTCAACAAGATTAACCAATAAGCCTTGGCTTATCGATTAATCATGTAGTCATCTACATGTTGACATCCCTAATTCTCTATCCCTTTAATTATTCCTAACATTCTATTTGAGTTTTTTACTGCTGCTGTACATTGTACAATTCCCTTCTGCTTTATTTTTTTTTTTAAAGAGTCATACTAATACAATATAAACTGGTACTTACTCAGTTCGTATTTCTGGATCACTGTGACAGGAATGACACATGGCACTAAACCGAGAAACAAAAAAGTCATAGCGTCTGTGATACGAAGGTGTATCCTCCTCAATGTTGGCAAATTTGACAAACTAGGAGATATAAAACAAACAAACAAACCCCAAGACAATGTTAGAAAAACTCTGCAATGTTTCCAAAAGAAAGCTAGAAAGTTTTCTAATTCTGAATGCCACAACTTTTAAAAGAGACTATTCATTTTCTTGAATATCTATTCTTTCCAAGCATTAAAGAGAAAAAATAATCTTTGTTTCAATGCAGTATACAATATTGTTGTACATTAGGAGCAGAATTACTAATTTATCTTGATTTATTTGAATAATCAAATAAAAAAAATGAAACATGCAGGGTAATGAGAAAGTAAACAGGCCTTGCCTTAATATGCTCCAGAAAAATATCAGCCCTGCCCAGAAAACTGGTCCACAGTTGAACTATATATCCTAAGGCTTTTTTTCTTCTTTTGGATTAATGTGCTTAGGGTTTTTTTTAGACCAGGGAGACGCGGAGAAAAGCCATGGCGAGAAAAGCCGCTCTGCGGCGCGAAAAGCTGCTCCACGGCGAGAAAAGCCTGGTCTGCTGGGGGAGGGGGAGGCACTAGCTGTGCCCCCCCCACCCCCCCCCGCAGACCAGGGAGACACGGAGCAAAGCCGCAGAGCACGCAGGCAGCGGGACAGCCCAGAAGTGCCGCGCTGTCCCACTGCTGGCGTGCTCCGAGGGTTTGCTCCCCCTC